GAAATAGTTTTTTTGAGCAGTAGAATATCATACCTAGATGTATTCAAAATGAATTCGTTTTTTCTTTATTTAACAAAAACTTTTGTATTATAATTAAAAGACTCTTTCGAAAAAAGAAAACTTATTTGCAAATCAAAATTAAATTACCGTAGTTGGGGACGGTATGTATTTGTTCAATACAAAAAATGAACTAATATGAGATCTTGTAGGCTACAAGGATTGAATTAACCAAAAAAGGAGAAAAGGGAGAACCCGTTTAGAATTAGTTTCATGAAAGTTTTAGAGAGCAATAGTGATTGTATGAAATAAGTGCCACTCTTGCTGGGTGTGGGTGTTGGTGGATGTGGGTGAGTGTGGGTGTGGGTGTGGGTAATGAGTGAGAAAAATATACATACCTTCACCCACCCTAAAGATGGTAAGAGAAGAATGACTTTACACCCCATACTCACATCCTAAAGAATCTGTCCGCTGTTTACGTATATAATGAGCAGTAACCTTGCAATACTTCGAATGATCAGACATTATTCTATGAATGGTGTCATAGCTCAAATTAATTTGTTCTCGAGTTTTTCTATTGTAATTTAAAAAAATCATCATTGATAATACTATAAATTTGCTCAATTATTTCAGCAATCATTTCGGTTACAAATCTACCAAATTCCTCATTGTCTTCAGTTTCTTCTCGATTTTCACAAACCATTGAGTCCGTCTTGCAACTGTTCTGAAGGATAGAACTTCATCATCAATAATTATTGCTTTAATATTAAGTGTAGTGTACTCTTTAATGCACAAACGAAAATTGTCCTAATCCATTTAAAACACAGATGAAAAGTGTTAAGATTGGATTTAATTTAATTTTTTTCACTTTCTAAAGAATATAATAACAGACGATGAATATCGAAGACATTACGAATTAATATCACCATTACACATGTTTTGCAAACTAGTCTTAACAGAAGTTTATTGTTATGATGTTAATCAAAGTATGATCAAATAGCATCGAAAGAAAAAAAAAGGCTTTCTAAGTTTATTAAATAATACTGAAGTACCACTAGAACTACTTTTGGATATACCTAGTAGTTTTTATTTGTAATCTTTTATAAGTTGTGTGATGGCTTTAAACTGTCTTTTTTTCCCTTCTCTTTCTTCTTCTTCTTAGATGAAATGTAACCTTTTATTTAAATATTGTTTATATTTTTATTATATTATACATTGTGAAAGAATAAATGGTTCTATGTAGATAGGTGACTGATTGGAAACTGTGATTGTATTCTACAATTAACATTTCTATTGCTATGTGAGTCATCCACTAGAAACTTCATTGCATCAATTTATTTCTTATTTTATACTAATGAAATAGTATCGTTTGAAAAGTTTTATAACATTCTTATGCCAACAATTTTTAATCATTGAATTCGTTGATTATGACACAATAGAGCAGATCTCATTCTAAAAAGACATATGCTTGTAACCACCCCATGAATATCCTGTCAATCTATCATGCATGTCAAATATGCATTATAATGACAGAAAACATATGGATCTATTAAAAGATGTCTTAACTTACACTTGGTATGATAAGAAAAAAAGTCATAATTAAATCTTTTTAATGTTTATTGTATAATCTCATCGAATAGTAAGTGATAATATGCATCATGAGATCTATTATAAAGATCAATTGATATAAATTTTTGTTTGTCTTTTAGAAATTCATTCTCTTTTAAAACTTTCTATTATTCTACTTCATGTCTTTTTTTTTCTTTCATACAAAAAATAAAATATACAATATGAAATAAACCGATGCATATATTTGAATAAGTTAGAAAATATGAGCAGTTGTATGTAAAGATGAAAACAATATAACAAAACAGAAAAACGGAAAGAAGTTGTTGTTCTTGTTTTTGTAATGCGAGTTCAATGTACAGTGAACCTAACTACACACATATACATATGTTTACGAAATACATTTAAATGTATGTCATTATATCTCTATTTACAATAACAATGCACAAACTTACATACATATAAAGAAAGAAAGAAAGAAAGAAAGAAAAAAAAAAGAAAAGTACAGATGTTCACTATGTGGCATAGAGACAAGGGGGAAAATGCAAACTTTAAAGCATAAAGTACCGTAAAGTTCTGTAAAGTATCAAAGTAGTTTAAAGTACGGAGAAGTAACGCCAAGTATAGTGAAGTGTGTAAAAGTAAGTCAAAGTATGTCAAATTCCCTTGAAAGTACAGCAAAGTACTTCAAAGTATGTCAAAGTCCCTTGCAAAGTACAGCAAAGTACTTCAAAGTAACGTAAAGTACATTAGAGTTTCTCAAAGTAGCGTAAAGCACATTAAAGTTTCTCAAAGTTCGTGAAAGTAATGCAAAGTAGTTTGAAGTTCGTCAAAGTAGCAAAGTAGTCTGAAGTTTCTCAAAGTAGCATGAAGTAGTATGAAGTTCGTCAAAGTAACGTAAAGTACATTAAAGTTGCTCAAAGTTCGTCAAAGTGAGGGGAAGTATTGTAAAGCATTATGAAAGATCTGGAAATGAACGAAACAGAATTAAATTACGTTGGGAAAATATGAATGATTGCGTTATCTGTTTAGAAAAAAGAAAAAAATCACAATCTAAAGACAAAAAACGGAAGTAATAGGTTTATTAATCAACATCAGCCGTTTGCTTCATGACACGAGCTAAACGATCATAAGATAGTTTCGTTAAATTGTTCGTTAGCAGCCAACAGGCTGGCTATTTGTGGAGATATTTAATGTTGTCATTTATTTTGATTTTGAAGTATGACTGCTTTAAAGCGGGATTAATATCGCCAACAATCCTTATTCCATTAAGGTCGAATTTTGTTGAATTCAATAAGTCTTCCTCATCACTACTATCGTTATTTTGAGGGTCAAATACAGTTCCATCATTAAGCTCAACTTGTGTATTATCTTTAATATTATCATCATCGTTCTCCACATCCAATCGAAACTCTTCACCGATATCAACAGGTACTTCACTCTAAAAAAAATTGGGTATTTGCTACTATCGGAAACCCATTTAGAGTTTCCGATAGTAGCAAATACCCAATTTTTTTTAGAGTGTTGGGAAGAGTAATTAATCATTCTTGAATTTTTACTTAATACATCAAATATATATTTACTCAAACTGTCTAAACTGTTTATTCAATATTGATTTAATACATCTAACATTTTCTTCTTCTGTTTTAACTCATTTTAACTCGTGTGTGATTGTTTATGTTTTACCCAGCGGTGGCGCGAATCAGCCAACATTGAGGGGAGGGTATAACGAAATTTTTTGAATTCTTGGGGGCAGGAGGTGCAGCGAAATTTGCTGAATTTTTGGGAGGGGTGTAGCATTATCTTTGGTAAAAACCTAAGAAGATCTGCCGATTTTGCTGACTAAAAATAGAAATTTTCGACAGTTGGAGGGATATCACACCCCTGACATCCCCTCCCGCCGGTCGCGCCTTCTCTGGTGTTACCTTTTATCTTTTTTTAAATAAATCATTAAAGTGCTTATGTAATACTATAATTTATGTAGCTTTTCTTTTTGCATATGTTGATTTTTTTAATATCATATTATTATTTAGCAAAAACAAAACGATCTATGATCATGATATCTAGAATATATATCTGCAGTTATATTAATAAACTGTGAAGTGGTATGAAGTAACTGGAAGTTGCTTAAAGTAGTTCAAATTGGCTCGAAGTCCTACAAAGTAGCTTAAAGTAGGCTAAAGTAATTAAAGTAAGTTGAAGTAGTGTAAAGTGATATAAAGTACGTTAAAGTAGCGTAAAGTAGCTTAAAGTAGACTAAAGTAGCGTAAAGTAGCATAAAGTAAACTAAAGTAGTATAAAGTAATTTTAAAGTAGCATAAAGTAAACTAAAGTAGCATAAAGTAATTTTAAAGTAGCATAAAGTATTTTAAAAGTAGCGTAAAGTAACTTAAAGTAGTGCAAAGTAGCACAAAGTAGTGCAAAGTAGCATAAAGTGGCTCAAATTCACTTGAAGTGCAAAAGTTTGCATTTTCCCCCTTGCATAGAGAAAAAAAAGAGCACACAGACAAATACATACTAAGAATGTATGTGTATAGACAAATAAATAAATAGAAAACACACAAATACATTTATATATATATATATTGAAAGACAGATGAAGAGAGTTCATCTCGTCTTCTTTTATCTATTAATTATAATGAAAAAAAATTTGTGATGGTTGTTGAAATGTTGACATCATAGGATTATATAAATTTGGATCCATAGCTGTTGACATTTGTTGTTGTTGTTGAACATTTTCTGTTTCCCATAGATGACGTACAGCTTGAATTTTATCAGCTAAACCTTGTTGACTATTAACGGATTGACGATCATAGAGATTTTCTTGTTGTTGTGTATGTGCTGTCATTGAATTATTCGTGGTTTGTTGTTGTTGTTGTAAAGAAAGCATCGATAAAAATCGAAGAACATTCTAAAATAGATCGTACAATAGACTAAGTAGTTTTTATAATATACTTCAGATAAATTTATTCAAAATGATATTTTCATGGCGATAAAATTTCTGATAGATTTGATCTTCTGTTACTATTTAATTAGTATATATTTCTATCAAATAAAATATGTTTTGCAGTCGATCATTGCAAAAAATAAAGAACTGTTAATTGATGTTTACATTAAAGACGATGTCATTTGACAAGATGACATACAGACATATCGTGTCCTAGACACTTAAGATTGATATAAATATAATTAAGGATCATTCGTTGTTTACATAGAAATTAATTTATATCAAGGTAAAGATTCTATGTAAGACTTAGAAAGTTTCAATCAAAAATATTAGACTCTACGAAGAAAATTTAATTAGAATAACAATAGGTCTTTATGATTTTATTTCATATTCTAACTATTCAAATTGCTGCGGTAGTGGTTGTTGTTGTTGTTGCATGGGAAACATTTGTTGTCTAGCCCAATTTTGTTGTTGTTGTTATTGCATAATGATTGCAGCAGTCATATCATTCATTTGTTGTTGTTGCGGCATTGAATATGTTCTATTCATGAATGAATGTTGTTGATTTGGTGTATTAAATCAAGTTTGTCTTGTTTGTTGAATTGATGAAATACGTTGATCAATAAATGAAAAATCATTTGATGTTGGTGTTGATGTTAAACCATATTCATAAGCAATTCGAGCATCATCAACAAGAGTTTAATCCATTATTGGTGATGAATACATATGTAAATGTTCAGGACCCGATTTCGTATGATTAAATCCTAGAAAATCAATATATATTGAGAAAAATTATTAGGAAAAAAAAGAAAAATATTCTTACCATTATTATTTATCATTGTTGGAGTTGATAAATAATGTTGAATTTTTGATTTTTCTAATCGTGCTTTCATTTGAAGACTTTCTGTAATTGAAAGTAGATTTTGATGTCGACGTTCAATATGAAAATATTTACATTTCAATCTATATGTACATTTTTTTCCATATATACATAATGAACAATGTGTTTCACAATCATTTCCATCATCATCATCATTAATAATTCTTACTAATAATGATTGAAAACTAAAAATAAAATTATTTTTCAATTGATTTATTCATTGTTTTTGAAAATCTCACACTTATTATCATTTTGTAAACGATATCGAATAGCTGTACCTTCTAAAATTTGTTTATAAATTGTAAAATCTAATCTAACATCTTTTAATGAAACATTTGTTATTAAATACCCTTTAGTTTTTTATGAAAATTTTAACATTTCACTTATATGTGTATATGAACTTGGTTTATTTGTTTGTTTTGAGTTTTGACATACGATTTGTATAGACAAGAAAAGTTTTTCGTTCAAGATCACGTAATGATTTTGATTCCGAAAAATTTTGATCATGTCGATGATTTCTTAATGAATACGGCAATACAACATATACTTTTTTATGTCCATGAGAATCTAAATATTTTAAACATATTTAAATTCCACGCCATGAAAACGAATTATTTCTATAACTAAATCAAAAGATAAGATTATTAATAGATTTATTTTTATCATAATAATCATAGATTATTTAACCTAAAAGCAAGATCAGCACCATCAATAATATAAACATCATGTGGGATAGTTATATCTGAACAATCGGTATCAGTTTTTGTTTGTGGTGAAAAGGTTTTCATTGATGATGATGATGATGATATGTTTGAATTACTATTAACTTCAGCTGTACGTA